CAGTCCCCACACTGTTGTCTGTGCCTGTGGGTCATGCATATATGTTCTTTGGCTAATTCCTTCCGTGTGTGTGTGTGTGTGTGTGTGTGTGTGTGTGTACACACATTAAATCTTCACCTAAGAATAATAGGTCCATTGATTTAAGGGAGAAACATTGATGCGAGGGAGAAGCATTGATCAGCTGCCTCCCATCCGCGCCCCACCTGTGCCCCAGCTGAGGACTGAACCCGCAACCTTTTGGTCCACAGACAGCACTCCAACCAGCTGAGCCACCTGGCCAAGGCGCTCGCTTATAGTTTTTTAATTGCATTTATTAGTTTGACTAAATTCATATACTGGTGTAAGCAAAAGTAGGTTTGCAGTTGTGAATATGTCATTGTGACATTCTTTTAAGTTAATAAAGCTATTGTAATAATCATAACCTGCATGTCTTTTTCAATACAAATAACTCTAAACCTACTTTTGCCTACCCCTGTATTGATTGAATGAAAAAACTTCAACAGATCTTTACTGAATTTCCATGTAAGCTAAGCACTCTGCCAACTGTTGGCCACATAGGACCCTAAACTCAAGATGATCAGAGCTTAAAGGGGAGAAGGTGATATAAGCAATTGAAATGCTAAAGTTGAGGGAAGAAATGACCAAACAAGATTATTAAGGTAACATAAGCCAGGAGCACCAGATTTACTGGGGAAGTTAGTAAAGGCCTTCCAGGAGAAGTGATACTTAAGCTAGCTATTAAAGGACATAGGAATTTTCCAGAGAGACAAGGTGAGGTGAAAGACATTCTAGGAAGAAGTAACTGCTTGTACAAAGGCATGGAATCATGCAATTATGTGACACATTTGAAGAATAATAAATAATAAGAATTCCTGTAAGACCAGGAATTCATGCTGTATATCCTCCACATCTAGAAGAATGCCTATAGCACAGTAAACACTAAGGACATATTTGAAGGAAGGAAGGAAGGAGGGACGGAAGGACAAAAGGGAAGGGAAGGGGAGGGGAGGGGAGGGGAGGGGAGGGGAGGGGAGGGGAGGGGAGGGGAGGGGAGGGGAGGGAGGGAAGAAGGAAGCCAGAGAGATAAGAAAATTTCAGTGGTAAAAAGAGCCTTGCTTAGTAACATTTAGCAAATGCCCACCATGGAGATTCAAAAGGGAATAGGAGGAGAGGTCCATAGTCTACTTGCAAAGAAACAATAAACACAAAAATATCTGTAATATGTTGTAAAAAAATGACATGCCACGAGAAGTACATAAAATGTGTTATTAAGGTTCAGAGGAAATAGAGCTTCATTTCACCTAAGGGAAGCAGAGAAGTTGTCATTGAAGCTGGTCTTGAAGTTGCTTTGTTCTGAACTGTTAGGTTTCAGAACAAAAGACTGCATGGAGTTGAAGAGGTGGCATAAGAAGGATGGGAATTTGAGCTGGACTAGACAGCCTTGCCTGCTCTGTCATAACTGTATCAGCACTTGATAGGCAGCCATTTATCAGCCTGCACCACTTCCTCGGAAGCTGAACCTGACAGGCGCCAATGTTGTCTGTAGCAAACACCTTTTTCTTGTTTATGAGGGTGTCTCTGTGTGTGTGGCTATGCTTACACCTGCACTCCAGAGATTTGGAAACAGCTCTTTCTACACAGACTAGCACTGAAGGGGGTAGATACATCAACTGAACACTAGCTAAACTATTAACAGTACCTTTTTTCATTGCACCTCACCCACACATTTACATGTATATGCACTCACCTGTGGCATGCGCACACACAGCACACATGGAGTTCCATAAGCAGTGGCCTGTGCATGACTTCAAATGACTAAATAAATAATACTTATTTTTATTTTCCTTAGCTCTATCCTGTCTGACTACACCCTAATCCTCATTTCTCTCTAAGGTTTATTAGGCTTCAGTTTTATCCCCATGAACTGTAAGATGCAATAAGGAATTCATGTAAGAAAATGATTCATTAGTTAACTCCATACATATTTATTGATAACCAGGTACTTTTCTAAATACCGAGGATACAGCATGGGATTTAAAAAAAAAAAACAACAACCTTGTCCACATGGAGTTTACAATGTGGGAGATGGGTACAGACAATAGACATTTTAGGTGTAAGTGCTAGGAGGTCAGGATAGCAGAGTAAGGGGGAAAGAGTATGACAGTTGCGTAGTCAGAAATGTCCTCTTTGATAAGGTGGCATTTGAGTAAAAACTGGAAGGAGAGAATAAGCGATAGGAATATCTGAGGGAGGATTACTACAGGCAGAGCAAGTAGAGCAAAGAACCTGAGGCTAAAAACAGTGGCTCGTGTTTAAGGCCAGCGTGGCTTGAGCAGAATGGGCAAGGTGAAGAGTGGGGAGAGATGTGGGGAGAGGGGTTACCATGTTAGGCCCCTGGGCCGTTGTAAGGTGGCTTTTCCTTGGAGAGAGAGGGAAAGCCCCTGGCGGTGTTGTGCACAGAAATGAGGTGTTCTGACATACATCAGCTTCCATGTTGAGAACAGATTGCAGGAGGAAAGAGTGGAAGCAGAAGGACTATAAAACAGTGGACTAGATCCAGTTAATAACAGTAGAGTACAGAGAAGTGGCCAGATTGTAGATAGATCTTGAACAGTTTGAACCTGTGGGATTTGCTATTGAACTTGATGTGGACTGTGAAAGAAAATTGTTGGTGATTACATCAAGACTTTTGGTCTGAGATGGGGAAGATTACAGGAAGGACAAGACTGGAGGAAATTGAGAGCTCAGTGTTGAGCACATTTGAGATACCTATTAATGAAGACTTGTATATAAGACTCTGGAGTTCAATAGTTGGGTCTGTGCTGGAGATATAAATTTGAGAATTGTAGTAATTAGATGACTTTTAAAGCTGTGAAAGTGAATAAAATAACCTAGGGAGGGGGTACAGGAAAAGAAGAGTTAGAGGACAGAGTGTTGGGTCAGAGAGATAAGGAATCAGCACTAGAGATGGAAAGAGAGAGGCCTGGCTGATAGAAGGAAAATTGAGAGTAAACACTGAAGCCCAGTGAAGAAAGGGGATGGAAGAATAAACTGCTATCTGATGTTGCTGAGAAATCAAGTGAGGCCCAAGAGTTGATTTAGCAGCTTGGAGTCTTCGGGACCTTTGCTGAATTATATTTTAGTGGTGGTGGTAGGGGGCAGCCTGATGAGATTGCCTTCAAGCAGACAAAAAGAAAAAAAAAAGGAATGGGAGGCAAGGAAAGCAAGATTAGTAGTATGGAAAACTCTTTGAGGTCTTATTATAAAGCACAGGGAAACCGGACCATCGTTGGAGGAGAATGGAGATCAAGTCAAGTTTTTCTTTTTTTTTTTCCCCTAAGATGGGAGAAGTTGGTGCCCTGATGGGAATAGCCCTGAAGGGAATGCAGTGATTTCAGGGAGGGGGAGAATGGTTAACGTGATGTCCCTTTGTCGGTGAGAGGAGATGCACAAGTGGAAAAGGATGCCTTAGATTGGACAAACTGTCCACACTGCCTAGTAACAGACTGTTTGGTTGCAGTTGCAGGCAGATTGGTAAATGTGGCGATGGAACCTGCATAAGCTCTCCTTTGATTGCTTATGTATTCTCATAAATAAGAAACAAAGGAATGAAAGTGGTGAGGTTTTAAAGAGAGAAAAGTTTAGAGATTGTTGTCAAAGAACAGGAGAAAGCCATGGACTACATAAATGTCGAGAATTGTTGGGCAGCATGAGGGCCCACTTGAAGTTGAAGCGAGACCAGCCAGCACAGTTGTACTGTTTTCTCCAGCTATGCGCAGCTGAGTGGGAACAGACAGAGCCTTAGACTTATCCACAGGTTGTGGTTTCCCCAGCTGAATAAGAGGAATGAAGAAAGAAGCAAAGGAGTGATTATGATGAAGGGTCAGGAACAAAGTCGGGTAAGGAGGGAGGTGAGGCCAGCAATAGAAGGTGAGAGAGAAAAGATAGTAGGATCAGCGGAATGAAGGTCCTAAAGCTCTCTAGAGAATTACGGTAATTATCAAGTTGTTGCATTGGAAGTGCTTTAGGGTTGTAAACAAAATGCTTTGGGTAAATTTCCATAATAAAACCCTCCATGGTAGGTAAGTGGTGGTGGTGATGTTGATTATCATTGTGTAAGTGAAACAAGACCCAAAGATGACTTTATCTAAACTCACACAGCAGGTCAGTGGTAAAGCATAGACTCAACCCAAGGCAGCTGTCTGTTCCTCACATCGTTTCACCACTCTGCCTGGTGTCTGCTCACAGATCACTCAGTCTTGTTGAAGAGATGGTCTGTAGAAGACAACAAATGTAATAAACACATAATCAAGTGTTAAATTCTGTAGTCTGGAATGATGCAAGGCCTTTATTCATTCAGTAATACATATTGAGTGCTTAGTATGTCCTAGGTTCTACTATAAGTAATGGGGGTAAAGCGTTGAATGAGATAGGGAGGCAAAAGTCCTAAAATTATGTGCTTCAGAGAAGTTTTAGAAGGGTTTCTATGTGATTGTTTCAAGGCAACATGATTTGGTAAAAAGCATGATGTACTAAAAGTTAGGAAACTTGTTTTTCTGCTCTTGGCTGTGTGTGACATTGTTGCTTCAATTCACCATGTCTTAGTGGAGGTCTGCTTCCATAAACTGAGATTTTTGCAGGCTCCACTCTGAGTAAAAGTACCATGAGTTTGAGTCTGTATTCTAGACTAGTGGAGTAATTGCTCTAAAATGTTTCAGTCCTTATCTAAGTTCCTGATCTAAAAGGTGGGAATGCCATTTTATAGTGCTAAAATTCATTTTATAGTGCTAAAACCCTGTTTCCACAGTGAAATGCTGTGCTAACATGCATTCTAAAATCACCCCTGTTTCTGAAACTCTGGGGCAATATGAGAGGTTGAGCCCATATTCAGCCTGCAGGCGCAAACTGTCCTCATTCTCAACCTAGTGATAATCTGAAGACCTGTGAAAAGCTCGGAAAGAACTAATGACTTTTTCCCCTTCTTACTTCTTCCAATTTAGGCCTGGAAGAAGCGCTGGTTTATCCTACGGAGTGGCCGGATGAGCGGTGACCCAGATGTTCTGGAATACTACAAGAATGATCACTCCAAGAAACCCCTGCGTATCATCAACCTCAACTTCTGTGAGCAGGTGGATGCAGGCCTGACCTTCAACAAGAAGGAGCTGCAGGATAGTTTTGTGTTCGACATCAAGACCAGTGAGCGCACCTTTTACCTGGTAGCCGAGACAGAGGAGGACATGAATAAGTGGGTCCACAGCATCTGTCAGATCTGTGGTTTCAATCAGGCTGAGGAGAGCACAGGTATGAAGACAAACACAGACCTTTGTCGGAAGGGGCACTGTGAAACTGCGCAAGATAGCCTAACGATCGATGTTTCTCTCACATCAATGTCTGTCTGTTTCTCTCTCTCCCCCCTCCCTCCCTCCCTCCCTTCCTCCCTCTTTGTCCAAAATTAAAGGATATGTCCTCAAGTGAGGATATGAATACAGACAGACAGACAGACAGACAGACATACCCCACCTCAGAATGGGGTTTGTGGACCAGCAGCAGCAGCTTCTTTGGGGACTTGTTATAAAGGCAGAGGACTTCCACTCAAACTGAATCTGCATATTTTTCAAACTTCTTATTTTGAAATAATCGTAGAATTGCAGGAAAATTGAAAGATTGGGCAAAAAATTTCCATATCCCTTTCTGTCATCTTTTTCTAATGTGAAAACTAACATCTCACTTAATCATGGTACAATTATCAAAACTAAGCAATTACCATTGATTGGTACAATATTGTTAACAAACCCACAGTTTATTTGGCCATCACCTGTTTTTCACCAATGTCTTTATTCTGTCCAGGATCCAATCCAGGATGCCACATTAGATTTAGAGGTCACATCTCCAAGTCTCCTCCAATCTGTAACAGTTCCCCAGGCTTTGTCTTTGTTGGCCTTGAGACTTTTATAGAGTACTGGTTAGATGTTTTGTAGAATGTCCCTCAGTCTGAGTTTATCTAGTGTTTTCTCATGATTAGATTGACGTTACCAGTTCTGGGGAGACGGTGTTACTACAGAGGCGATGTGTCTTTCCAAGCATGTTGTATCGGGGACACATGATGTCAGTGTGTCTTATTACTGGTGATGGTACCTTGAGCACTTGGTAAAGGTAATATCTGCCAGGTTTCCCCACTGTAAAGCTACTATCTTTACTTTTCTAATAAATATGTTAGCAAATACGGTATTTACATTAAACTATTTCTTTTGGAAGAAATAGTTTAATATAAATACCCTATTTCTCCTTGAGTTTTTGCTCACTAATCTTATTATCCAACAATGAATCATGTTTGCAACAATTATTACTGTGGTATTTCTAAGGGTGATTTCCTGCTTCCCTCAGAATCCACATTTTATCAAGCTCACCAGGTGACTGGCATGCACTTTAAAATTTGAGAAGCACTAGTCTGGATTATTCATTCCCAAACATGGTAGGTCGTAAAAAACGTTTTTCTTTTAACTTAGAGGTCTGATTCAGTAGATTTGATTTAGGATTGAGGAATCAATTTTTTTTTAAGTTTCTCCTACAAAATGGGACAGAATATTTCTAAATCATATAACTGAAAAAGGGATAGCATCTAGAATTTATAAAAACTCTTACATCTCAACAACAACAAACACATAACCCCATTTAAAAATGAGCAAAGGATCTGGCCCTGGCTGGGTGGCTTAGTTGGTTAGAGCATGTCCCAACACTCCAGGGTTGTGGGTTCAATCCCCAGTCAGAGCACTCTCTCACTTCTTTCCTTTCTCTCTCTCTGAGATCAATAAATTAAAATAAATAAATAATATTTTTAAAATGGCCAAAGGCTCTAAATAAATGGCAAACAGATGGCCAATGAACACATGAAAAGATGCTGAACATCACTAGCTGTTAGGAAAGTGCAAATCAAAACCACAATGAGATACCACTTCACACTCACAAGGATATATATAATTAAAAGTATAGATAGTGACAAGTGTTGCCAAGAATGTGAAAAACATATATTGCCCATACATCCCACCTCATACATTGCTAGTGGGGATGTAAAATGGCACACTTACTGCAGAAACAGTACAGCAGTTGTTCAAAAAGCTAAACCTGTATGACCCAGCAATTCCACTCCTAGGCATATACTCAAGAGAAATGAAAACATATGTTCATACAAAAACTTGTGCACAAACATTCATAGCAGCACTATGTACAATAACCGAAAAGTAGAAATGCACATGTCCATCAATAAACAAAATGTACTGATACATTCTACAATACAGATAAACCTTTCAAACATTATGCTAAATGAAAGAAGACACAAAGAATCACATGGTTTATGATATGATTCACAGTCAGCCCTCTGAGTCCACAGGTTCTGCCTCCACAGATTCAACCAAGCATGGAGTGAAATGAAAAAAGTTACCTTGTTGCTGACATGTAGTATGTAGTTAGGCCTACAACAGCTAATGATCGCATCTGTACTGAACATGTACAGACTTTCCCTATCATTATTCCCTGAACAGTACCATGTAACAACTATTTACATAGTGCCTAACATTATATTTGGCACTATAAGTATTCTTGAGTGACAAATTATACAAGAGGGTGTACACATGTTATATGCAAAAACAGTGCCATTTTATATAAGGAACTTGAGTGGATGTTGGTATTGGCTGGCAGTCCTGGAGCCAATGTCTTGGAACCACTGGATGACTATGAAAGGTCCCTAGAGCAGGCGGTAGGTTGGCAGTTGAGGGGAATGGGGAGTGACTGCTAATGAGTATGTGGCTTCTTTCGGGGTGATAGAATGTTCTGGAATTAGATAGTAGTGATGGTTGTGAATTTTGTGAATATATTAAAAACTACTGGATTTTGCACTGCAAAATAGTAAAATTTGTGGTATATGAATTATATCTGTTTTTCCTCAAGTTTCTTAGGTGCTTCTGACAACCAGCCAAGTTCGGGCACCCCTGGGGTTGGGGCCTCCTTCATTGGCATGTGACCTCTGCACTTTCACAGGGCCCCACACTCAATTTAATGCTCTACTATTGCCATCTTGAAGTTCTCTTAATTTTTTAAAAATCGTTTAAGATATGCAACGTGAAGATTTGTCATCTGTTCATATTGTAAAATGTTTACCATAATAACAGCAGTTAACACATCTATCACCTCACATAGTTACAATTTGTGTGTGTGTGTGTGTGTGTGTGTGTGTGTGTGTGTGTGTGTGTGTGTGGTGAGAACTTTTAAGGTCTACCCTTAGCATCTTTCTAATATAAATTATTGTTAACTGTAGTCACCATGGTATACATTAAATCTCCAGGATTTATTCATCATCAAAGGGTACTTGGAAGTTTGTACCCTTTGACCCTCACCCTTTCCCTCACCCCTGCCTCGGGCAACCACTAATGAACTCTCATTCCTGTGAGTTTAATTTGTTTAGATTCCACATATAAGTGAGATTATACAACATTTTTTTTCTGTGTCTGGTTTATTGCACTTAGTGACCTCAAGATTCATCCATGTTGTTGCAAGTGGCAGGATTCTTTTTTATGGCTGAACAATATTTCATTATGTATATTTCATATATATACAGGGTGGGGGCAAAAGTAGGTTTATAGTTGTTCACACAGAAAATAATATAGTAACAACTAATAAAACAAGAATAAACTCATGTACTCCCAACTATAAACCTACTTTTGCCACACCGTGTGTGTGTGTGTATGTGTGTGTGTGTGTGTGTGTGTGTCACATCTTCTTCTTCACTTCATTCATCAGTAGAGACAGGTTTTTGCCATGCCTTAGCCATTGTAAATAATGCTGCAGTGAACATGGGGGTGCAGATGTCTGTTCAAGATAGTGATTTCAATTCCTTTAGATATATACCCAGAAGTAGAATTGACAGATCATATGTTAGTTCTAGTTTTAATTTTTTGAGGAACAGCCATACTCTTTTCCATAGCAGCTACACCAATTTATATTCCCACCAACATTGCACAGGGATTGGTTCCCTTTCTCCACATCCTTGCTAGCACTTACCTCTTACGTTTTTGATAATAACCATTTAACAGGTGAGAGGTGATACATCATCGTGGTTTTGATTTGATTTGCAGTTCCCTGGTGATTAATGATGTTCAGTATCTTTTAAGGTAACTGTTGGTTTTTTGAATATTGTCTTTGGAAAAATGTCTATTCAGTTTCTTTGCTCATAACAATCAATTTGTTGTTGTTGTTTGCTATTAAGTTTTATGAATTTCTTATACATTTTTGGATATTAACGCTTTATCAGATATGTAGTTCAAAGATATTTTCTCCCATTCCTTAGGTTGTCTTTCATTTTGTGGATTGCTTCCTTTCTCTGCAGAAGCTTTTTTAATGTAGTCCCAGTTTCTGATTTTTGCTGTTATTTGTCCTTTTGGTGTCACGTCAAAAAAAAAAAAGATAATGATAATTACCAAGACCAATATTGAGGAACTTTTCTCTGTTTTCTTTTAGGAGATTTATGGTTTGGGGTTCTTACATTTACATCTATAATCCACCTTGAGTTCATTTTTGTGTGTGGTATAAGATAAGAATCCAATTTTATTCTTTTGTAAGTGAATATCCAATTTTTCCAGCACCATTCATTGAAGAAATTATCTTTTCCCTGTTGAGTATTCTTGGCTCTCTTGTCAAGTATTAGCTTACCATATATGTTGGGGCTTTCTATTCTGTTCCATTGGTCTATGCATCTGTTTTTGTGCCAGTATCATACTGTTTTGATTACTCTAGCTTTGTAATATAATATGAAATCAGGAAGTATGATACTTCCAACTTTGTTCTTCTTCCTCAGGATTGCTTTGGTTATGTGGGATCTTTTGTGATTCCATATGAATTTTAGGAGTGTGTTTTCTATTTCTGTAAAAAAAACAAAAAAGGCCTTTAGAATCTCCATAGGGGTTGCACAGACTCTATAGATGGCTTTGGGTAATATGGACATTTTAACAATATTGATTCTTCCAGTTTATGAACACATCTATTGTTTCATTTATTTGTGTTGAAGATTTCAGTTTTTGAATAAGGAGCCTGGCAATTTCCCTGTGCACCAGGCACTGTGAATTATGTAGTCGGCTGAGTCTAGACTAGATGTCCTGCCTTAGGAACTCTGATTTTTATCTTCCCTTAAGGAAGAATTATGAGTCCCCCTTTTACTCTCAGATGCTTTGGCATAATCTTTGATTTCTGTGTGAAATACTCTGTTTTCCTCAAATATTTGTCATCTATAAGCTTCATGGATTTTGTTTTTG